TGAGTGATCACACCATTGTGATAATCTGGGTCATGAAGATCTTTTTTGTGTCATTCTTCTGTGTCTTCTTGCCACCTCTTCTTAATATCTTCTGCTTCTTTTAGGTATATACCATTTCTATCCTATATTGTTCCCATCTTTTCATGAAATGTTCCCTTGGTATCTCTAATTGTCTTGAAGAGATCTCTATCTAGTCTTTCCCATTCTATTGTTTTCCTCTATTTCTTTGCACTGATCACTGAGGAAGGCTTTCTAATCTCTCCTTGCTATTCTTTGGAACTCTGCATTCAAATGGGTATATTTTTCCTTTTCTCCTTTGCCTTTAGCTTCTCTTTTTTTCTCAGCTGTTTATAAGAACTCCTCAGACAACCATACCTTTAGTGAAGGGAAAATTCATAGTCCATATTCAGAGAGGATTGCTAGAACGTTCCTAAATCAGAATATGCATCCTTTTACTAGCCACTCACTGGCTTCCATCTTTCATAGATCTGTTAAAATATAGCCTGATTCTCTTTCTCTGTGATGGAGTTTCAACTCTCAGAAAACTTCATTTGCCAGTTTTTGAGGAATTTCTTTTTTCTTTTTCATGCTAAATAGCCTCTGGTTGTGACTTTATTCTTTTGTTATTTCTGTTTGAATTCCTAATTTTTTTATGAAAAAGCAAATGATAGCACTAAATCTAATACCCTTTGTATTTCCCTCTTGGCTAAGTTACAAAAGCAATCGCCTCTCTCCCTGCTCCCCTCAATTAAAAGGCAAAAATAAAAAGCAATAAATAAAATGAAAAACCAACCATTGATACTGTTACCTCCTCAATTAAATCTAAACAGTAATTTCTAATGAAAACACTATATATTGACATTGCTCACTTAAACAGCTCATTACTTCATTTATATATTTTGGAAGTTTACTTGTAATCAAAACCCCTCACTCATTATATAGGCTTCTATCAAATGTACCTCCTTAATAACCATTTGGGAAATTTTGTCTCAAATGCAAATTGTCAATGACATTTTGGATATTGATTCCTTCATTCAGCATATTGTGTTCCTCTCATCTAGATTTTGCCAAGTGTTGTGAACATGAATTTGCACTATCATTTAGTTAGTAATAAGTAAAAAATATACAAAGTAAGGAAGCAGTAAACAAATGTGATGGCTCTTTTCCTCCTAGGCAAGACAATTTGTATAGAATTAATAATCCATTTTCAATTAAAATGAATGAATATTCATAGAAAATTTTAAAAAGTACACAATGTTGATGTAAGACTTTACCAAGTGTTATTAAAATTCAGATATTTAATTAAAGGTATTTAATTTTACTAATAAATGTATCCAAAATTAACTTCAGTTCATCTAACATTTTTTTCCTGGTAAACCTCTCTAGGGTAATAGAGACCATAAATTTCATTCTTCACCTTCAAAATTCATTCTTTAAACTATCTGTTATAAATTCTTACAAATCAGCTCTTGTGCAATCCCTAGATGTTAGGTGATTAATGATGAAGAAAAAGAAAATCAGGTAAGAAAATTCCCTGCAAATAGGAACCCATGAGGAAAACCTCCATTTAATATTTAACCTAATTTCAAAAAAATAAAGTCTGTTGAATAATTTACAATTTATTAAATCATAAATCCAGTAAAAATTGTAAAGCTATCTGAAAGGTCTGAGAAAATGGAAGCAATTTCTAGGAAAACAGAGGCCATACCTCTTTGTTCATTGCCTAGAACACTACTCGCCATTCAATAGACACTCAATAAATATTGATTTAATAAATAAATGTATTATTGGTAAAATATAGGGTGTAGAAAGTCTATATTTCAGATTATTAATGAGTTGGACCTATAATTCCCAATGGTTTGTACATTTTTCAATTTGGTGATTAAAAGAAAAACCTGAGCTGATTTATGTATGTTATATACACTATGTGTACCTCACATATGGGGACTTCCCTGGTGTTTCAGTGGTAAAGAATCCACAGGAATCTGCAATGCAGGAGATGCGGGTTCGGTCCTGGGTTGGGATGATCCCATGGAAGAGGGTGTGGCAACCCACTCCAGTGTTCTTGCCTAGAGAATTTCATGGACCCAAGGAGCCTGGTTCCTATTAGGCTACAGTCCCTAGGGTCTCAAAGGGTCAGATACGACTGAAGCGACTGAGCGCACACACATGTCACATTTCCTTAAAATCTAAAAAAAGAAAAAAAGAAGCTTTTTTTTTAATCGATCAAAGTTCTTTCATTGTTTTTATTTGGTTAATTTCAATTTATTGACATGGATAATATAAACACAGATTGTCATATGCACTGATTTTTTTTTGGCAGAGTTACATTCACTTGCTGATAAAGTTTTTGGCTGCTCTGTGATGACCTAAATGAGAAACAAATCCAAAAAAGAGGGGATATATGTATATGTTTAGTTGTTTCACTTTGCTGTACAGCGGAAACTAACACAGCATTTTGAAGCAACTATGCTCCAATGGAAATATTTAAACATATATAAATGAAATCTATCTATATGCCTATGGTTAGCAAGATTATATTTCCAAGTCTGGCCTCTCCTGCATTTTAGTCCAACGTATCTCACTTGATGTCCATTGATATCTTTCAGATTGTTCAAAAATGATTTCCTGACCCCTCAAATTGATCCTCCCATGGCTTTTCATATCAGTTGATGGAAATTCCATTCTTCTGGTTGCTTACACTAAAAAACTTGTAGTCATTCTTGGGTCTTCTCTTCCTCTCACACTGTTCATCAAACTACCAGGAAATCATCTTGTGTCTGTTCTCAAATTCTCCAGAAATTAATTTGAATTTAATCATAAGACTTTTTAAATATAAGAATTACTTATGGAACATGAAGTAGAAAGTAATAAAAGGCACAAAAAGAGTAATTAGATTTGACTATAACATTCATTTAAATTTAAGGACTCCTTCTGTTTCTAGGAAAGGCCTATGCTCCAGAATTCTATTACGACACCTACAATCCTGTGTGGCAGAACAGACATCGCGTTTACTCCTACAGTCTACAGTGGACTCAAATGAATCCTGATGCAGTGGACCGGATTGTTGCATACCGGTTGGGTATTAGGCAGGTGAGGAATTTAATTATCATCTTCTGTGCTTATGTGATTCTCTTTGAAGATCTTGTTACGATGATGTGTTGATATAAAATTTTAATCATTTTTCGATGAATTTCAGACCACATTTTTTTCTAAATCAAAGATAACATTACACTACCCAGAACTGTTTCAAATTATTTACAAATCTTTGAAATTCATTTATGCAGTTTTACTATGATGTGAGACATACTAAAGTGAGCTTTCTGAAATACTTCATCATTTAGATATGCTATAGAAATTACATGGCATAATTTCTATGAAAGAAACTTATTTAACATGTGCTTACATTTACCTGCACTGAGTAATTCTTTGTCTCATTTCCTAAACTAGAAATCCTACATATTTTTATTCTCAGAGATTCAAAGTATCTCTGATTTTTAAAAGCTAATTTAATGTATCTGAAGAATAGAAATATTTTGGTAAAATGAGGAAAAACAATGAGGTAAGATGTTTTCCTAAAGTAGCTGAAGATTATAGAGTCTGTAAAAATATCATAGCTTTTTCAAATGAACCAATGTTAAATTCAGTTATCCTTTGCTGGTTTAAATGATATATATTTTTAAATTTAAATGTAGGTCTTTTCATTATTTCCTGTTATATAGGAAGTTATCTGGAAAGATTGTTTCAGCATAACAAAACATTTTTGAAGATTTATTTCATTATCACATAAGCTGTTAGCTTTCTTTACATCTTTGTATTATGCAGAGATTTGTAAAATGTTTTTTCCACTTGCATAGCTAAATCATATGATAGCATTTTGAGTTTTGAAAGTAGAAAAGATAGAATTTGCTTAGAGAAAGATTGATCCATCACCACCAATCCATTCAGTCTCACTATCATAAAACCATTGTTTTTTTTTTAATCTTGTTAACAAAGTTTAAATAAAAGACTATGCAAGATACACCATTAAAATTAAGATACATTTTAAGTTGAATGTCTATCCTTTTTGTCTAAATATTCACAGGTCACAGGAATGGTAGGCAGGAATTGTTTATTTGGAAATTTTCTCTATTACTCTTATTTATTTTGGTCCCTAAGTAAATACCCAATACATGTCAAAATTGTTTGTTCTATTATACTTGGTAGAATTTAATGGTAATTTTTCTTGATAGGAAGGATAGAAACAAAAAAGTTCAGCAGCCCTTTCTCCCCCTGTTTATTGGCTTATCCTTTTGTTTTTCTTTTCTCAACATAGTTAATGTTTTTAGATCTTTTATATTTAGAGCATCTTAGCACATTCTTGACTTTAGATACCTGACATTCCTTTCCAAGTCTTTACCAAATGATTTGGGCAATCATATTCATCTTTTATTACGTACATTTTTAAAAGACAAAGAACCCCAAGTGGCACTCGTGGTAAAGAACCTGCCTGCCAGTGCAGGAGAAATAAGAAACGCAGGTTCGATGCTTGGTTCAGGAAGATGGCTTGCTGGAGGGCATGGCGATCCACTCCAGTATTCTTGCCTGGAGAATAACATGGTCAGATAAGCCTGGTGGGCTACAGTCCGTAGGGTCGCAAAGAGTCAGACGTGACTGAAGCGACTTAACACAACACACAATGCCAAACTGCAGTGTAAAATTGAATCATTTTATGTACGTGTCTTTTCCTTTTTTCTGGTTATAGGTTGTTTTTCTTTTATCCAACATTTGAGTCAGAATGTCGTCTTTAATTTCTCACTTTCTTCCTTGGTTATATTTTCTGAGAGTGTCTGAGTAACTGCCTTTTGCTTCCTGTATGCTGAAGGGCTGTCTGGTTACATCTCCAGAATTAATTTACCCAACCCTACTTATCATTCTCCTCTTTCACTCTAAAAGTCTTAAAACTTTCATTCCCGGAGTCTCCATTATGTATGCAAATCACCTCCTCTATAAATCATATTTGACAGAAGAGTTACCAGCTAAGTCCTCCCCTCAAATGGAGAGATTTTAAACTTCCTCCTAAGAGGGATCCAACTATTTAAAGCCCTTCCTTCTTGCCCACATATTGTACTCATTATTAATACACTATCTTTTTAAATATTTTTTCCTGGGATTGCCATGCTGTTTTCCAATTAGTTTCTCTTTTCTTTAAAAATTTTCCTTTCCTGACATGAACATCTCTAAATTCCTGTCTTTGCTTCCTGATCATAAAACTAGTATATAACTCCCTGATATGCGGTGACACACATTTCCCAGTCACTGTGTTCACCCTTGTGAACAAATTAGCTAGGTAATTTCCCCCCATTCTGCTACACTAGAATGCATTATATTTGCATGCATGTATGTGTATAAATTTCTCCTTACTGTGTTTTGCTGAAATTATGAATTTCTTGCACACCTAGCTTCCAATTCTAGCCAATCTAGCCTTATCATTTTGAGCTATATAACCTTGAGCTCTATTGTTATTTCTGAACATACCAAAGCCTTGATTCCTACCTGGGAAGTCAAAGATAATAATACCTGTCAGGTAATTGGAGTGTGGAGTAAAATATATTCCCCGCTTATACCACAGGCCATGTTCCCTTATGCAGGGTACTCCTTACACAAACATCTGTGGTAATTCTTACACTCATCTTCCTGGGATGTGATAACAGTTTTTGTTTTGTTTTTTTAAGTGCATTTTAAGAATTTAACATATATACTATTTTTATTTCAACTTTATTCAGAACACTGTATATCCTGGACCTAAGTAGTATTCCAAGCCATGATTTTCACAAAATAATTTCTAGCCATTTTTTTGACTTGTCTTATTTTTATTTCAAAACTATTGTCCTCCATAATATCCATTTTACTGACTCACATTTTTCTCTTCCACTTTCAGTCTTATTTTAAAGCTTTCTTGATTGGATCAGTAAGCCTGATGCTAATACTCATTGACTCAATGAGCTTCTGAATGTAACCAGTGTAACTTGGATGATGTTTAAATAAATGATGTAGCAAATTTTAAATTTCTATAACATAAATTTTAAATTTAAGAAACATAAATTTTTAAAAAGGATTTCTTCTCTAATAATTAGTATTTATGTCTTTGACTATGAAACTGTTTTCTTCAAGGGATTATTAATTTATATTACATACTTTATGATTTTAAAATCATTCTTTTACTCTATATTTTTATTTTGAGCCTAAATATATAAATAATTTCTTATATCCATAAATTATCTATATTATCTAATGAAAAGTACTTTTCCTTTTTAATATCAAGCATGACTTTAATTATACAACACATTTTTTATTTGCTGAAGCATGAAAAGTAAATTTGACCCTTAAAGACTCATGGTAAATTCAGTTCAAAAGAGCCCACCTATTTTTTAATCCACAAACAGTTAGAAACTTATTAATCTTAAATTAAGATTATGAAATCAGTACTGTATTGTATAAACTCCTTGTTTGATGGGTTTGGTAACTAAACCCAGCATTCCTCCAAATTTTTGGTAAAATTAGCTGACTCTTTTGATTAAATTGTATGGTCTTTATTTAAATATAATGAGAAAAGTTGTTTTCGAATTTGATTATTGGCTTATATACTTTTCATAAATGTTGCTATCTATAAAAAAGCACTAGAATTCTGGAATCACTGCTTTAAAAAACTTAAAAAGAGAACAGATATTTCATGTGAAGTTAAAAAATTCATGTATGGAAAAAATTTTCCTCAAAATCTTAATGTCCTTAAGTTGTACTTTTTAGGCTCAGCTAAGAAATTGTTTAATCTCCTTAGACAGCTACTAGCTTCCCGACTATTTGCTTCATTTGTTGCTTAATAGGAAATAGAAAAAGTTTATTTGAGTGTCTGCTTTCCTTAGTTTCTAAAGAATTAAGAAACAAACAAAACTATTTCTGAGTTATTTGAATATACAAGACAACATAGATATCATTTGACTCCATTTAACATATACATTATAGGTTATAAAAATGAAGGATTTTAGACTTTTATACAGTTTTCTTTTTATACTCTGTCTTAGAGACCCACAATGAATGTGATCTTTTGACTCTCATCTTTGGAATAGGGGATATTTTATTGAATAAAATACTTTAATTCACCCTATTCCTGTGTACTAAACTTTGATACTAAAATACCTAGAGTTATCATATTCACATTCTTATCAAGTCAGTCAACAAAACTCTTACTAAATTAATCACCTCATAAATACTGTCTTCCTTGGTGGCTCAGATGGTAAAGAACCTGTCTGCCACGCAGGAGATCCCTAGGTTCAATCCCTGGGTCAGGAAGATCCCTTAGATAAGGAAATGACAACCCACTCCAGTGTTCTTTGGGATGCTATGGACAGAGGGGCCTGCCAGGCTGCAGTTCATGGGGTCAAAAAGTCGGACATGACTGAGCATACACACATATGAAGTTCCAAAAAGAGATGCATTCTCTAGTTATGCCTGAATTGATGCATTTCCAAGTCCAGTGATTATTAAAATGTTGTGCTCAGTCCACTATTAAGTTTCAAGATTTATTCCATGGACTGAGAACTAACCCAAATAGCAAATATTTTTTTTAGTTCTTCTGGGCAAGATACACTCAGTTCCTTAGACTTACATTAGAATATATTGCTAAGAAATTTTTAAAAAATAACAAACATATTAATGAGATATTAAAAGTTACTTTATTGTGGTATGTGCAAACTAAACTTTGTATTTGGTAATTCTGATGACTAATTCAGTGCTTTACATAGGAGTGTGACTTCCTGAAAATACAAATTCTCCATGAACATTCCCTCAGATTTCAAGAATGAATCTCAGAGTTGTCTTGAATTGATAACTATTTCCTATTGCTTCCTTTCATTTTAAAATATAAATTACTATTTGTTTAGCTTTATCATTTTTAGTTTTATTACTTTAAGTTTCTTAAGTTGTTTTAAAATATGGAGTCATAGTTATTTTTACACTACTTTTTTTTTAAAATGTATTTGTTTATTTTAATTGGAGACTGATTACAATATTGTGGTGGTTTTTGCCATACATTGACATGAATCAGCCACGGGTGT